CAATCTTTAGTTAGAAATAGAAAAAGTAGACAGATAACACTATGCATATGTACATGAGGACCGAACCTAACCAGATAGTTTCACCATCCCTATTGTGCGTGCAGTTTACGTGTACGCGGAGTAACTGTCGATGTGCAGAAAAAATATATCACCGCGTCAGAAACCCTGTCCAGCTTTCGTGGTGCTCGCAGTTATATTCGAGGAAACTATTGTCACCAGCTGGAGTGAACTGCGCACATGCTGTTCATTCTCAAGGCTGCAGTCCATAAGGCTTGCGCAATTCCTGGCACTGTTCATTGCCACACCCACCCGCTGGCGCGTGCACGCGCATCAGTCATCCATCTAATCTCATCACTCTCATGCTCTCGAACCTAGGTATCATTCTGCTCTTTTGTATTTGTTTCTTCATCCCCAATTTCTCCTTTGAGCTTCCACATAGAGCTATGGCAATCGGACCGTTATTGTTACGGGGTTTCCTGAGGCGAATAACGGTATAATAAGACTAGATAATCCTTGCGGCTATTGATTGGCCTATGATACGTTTCTTTAGTCCCTCCAGTCACGAGTACCGGAATAAACGGCAGGATCAAGTTCACCAGGTACTGAGTTCCTGAATCTGAAAATATTTTTCATCTATGCAATAAATGCAGTGTGATATACTTGTTCTTACAACCGCACATGTGAGTGACTGGATCGTGTCAAGACGGCTATGAATTCGATTCAGAATTTTCTTATCGCTGTGTGACTGTGATTGGAAAATGTAATGTCGCTTGTATTCATTCCTACCACCCATATTCTCACTATCAGGAAAGTCAGCGTTCGGATACGAAACGGAACGCAGCTATTGTGATCGGGAAATTGGCCCAGAGCAGCCATGTGCATCGAGATGAGCTTTCACGCCTGGACGGCTGGAGTGTATTGAAATCGTTCAGTTCATGGAGTTCACCGTTTGCCGGATGGTAGACCCGATTTTGTGCAGTCCACCCCGTGCCTTTTTCTGTTTGCACCTCCTACTCTGTCCCCCTCCCGTTCTTCAACATCTGTCTCTCTTCCGTTTTATGTTCCGAATTCCGTTCAGGACTGAAACCACTCATTCATCCTACAGACATACAAGTGTCTTTCACCCGGACGCAGGTCGTGCGTGCTACTATCTATCTATCTGGCTGTTATTCTTACTGATCACGAAGCACGCTTTGTTGCTCCATCTGTGTGATGTGGTGCTGTCGTTCAGGTCGCAGTTGTACTCCAGTCAGTGCGCTCTCTTATTCTTAGTGGTCGAATTGTTTGTTAGTACGTCTCTTTTACCCATCCAACTCTTGTGCACATACACCGAATCGATATTGACGCCCAATCGGTCGCCTTTCAGATGCGCGAACAATCCCAATCTCATGGTCCATTCTAAGGCTACACACACAGGTTCCTCAGCGTTCACCTACTTACAAAAAACAAACCGCCCCTCCCCACCCCGGAGGGAACAAACCACGTTCAGTTTACCGATTGATTCCGTTTTCCCACTCACTAGTTTGCAAGTGTTCGGCACCAATCTGACGTTCCTGTTCATTCTCTTTCATGCATGCACTATTTTCCTGACCGGACGGAAGTGGGCTACATTGGTGTGTGTGTATGTGCACAGGCATTTACCAATTAAATGGTTGAAACAAAAGTCTAGACGTAGACAGATTATTTGAACTGAAAAAAAGGCCGAGTGTAGTGCTTCTATCGTTTGGACCCCTTCCTCCTCAGTGACAGTAAAAACGAAAAGGGAGTTGACTGCTTTGCTTTGAACCCCGCGTTGTACACTAGAATATGTGAATGAAGCGTGAACTGAAAAGCTAGGAAGCGTTGGTCTGCTGTTTCAACCTAGCTGGGTCTCATCAGTAGTGCCGGCGAACCCGAGACCTCACAAGCAGAACGCAAGCATACTACGCACTCACTTGCAACCATTTGTTTCGCCCATAACCATAGTTTTCGAGTACATCATCTCTAGAGTTACCTCCATATATAAATATATATATATATATATATATATATATCGTCACAATAACCTCATTTGCAACACCGAGTGACTATTGGATAGACAACTCTTTCAGAGCCAGCCCATTGAAGAATCAATGCTATGATTCGATGTTTTTTAACTAGGTTAGATGCTGCTACCCGCAACAAACGTGACCTGATGGTCTTTGTAGAATGTTTTATAATAAGCAGTATGTGAATGACTGGACAAAATTTCCCTGGAAGCACAACCGGTTTCGCGGTTCTTGCCGCTCGTCAGGCATCCTATGACTCTAAAAGAGCTGTCTATCTAACAGCAAACAAGGTTATGGTGACGAAAAATACATTTCCTGGGTACAAGTATAAGAATGAACTGACGAGCGGCAAGAACCATGAAACCGGTCGTGTGCTTCCAGGGAAATTTTGTCCAGTCATTCACATACCACTTATTATGAGATATATATGTGTTTCACATATTTGATTCCAGATTGTCAAACAAACCGCAGTCATCAGCATAATAGAATAAAACCACTAAACAGCTCATAAACGATGTCAGTACTGCGTGGTGAGTAAGGCCTCTACAACATCTCAATCATTCAATCCAGTGGTCATTGACACCAATGACCGAAATTAGCCAGACAGCCTCGGCTGTGTCTGAGAACAGTCACTTTACGGAGTCAGTTCAAGATTATACTTTCGAAACTGCTCACTCTCGTCAAAAACAGGTGAACAGAGAAAAGTCAGTAGCCTCACGTACAAAAAAGACAAATCACAGTATGGGAACGAAATAGCAACAGATGAATAAGTGAATAGAAATTAGGGTACTGGTATTTTTCACAGAGATTGCACAGCGCATCAAGGCGTGAACAGTCTCAGCTGAGAGTCAAGGTCAATGACCATTTTACGGGTTTGTGAATGCGCTGTGTATGTGTGCATTGATTCCCCCTCCCGGGGCCCCGGTGCGTCATCATCGACCGTCAAATCGCACGTACATCATATTGTTCTGAACGTTGAATCCGATCTTCTGGTAAAAACCAACTTTATCATCTCGGCAATCCAGTGTGATTTTGTAACATCCCAAGTGCTTGCCCATTCGAACCAAAGCTTCAATGAGGCTGTGCAAAGGGTGCGAATCAGAAAGGTGTCTATTAGGGGCAGCCAGAAATGCACTTGTGTTAGAAACGGTGTTTTTTTGTCAAGACGTCAGAGGGTTATCTAAAATAGAACAAACATTACGGCACAGGAAAGGGGGTGGTTTTGAAGTTTGACAACCCAGTTACGCGTGGCGACACGCCAGACCTGTGGTCTATTTCTGAACGAGTGGACTAGACTCAACAGGAGCGGGCACTGACTCGCGAGGAACCATACAATGCGGCCCCAGCCGGTGCGTAGGTCGTGTATACCTAGTTTTCTCACGCAGATACACTGTGTAATGCTGATACACGAAACAGTTTTTCTGGGGCTTTCTGATAACCTTGACACACATTGGCCAATACGTTCACTCACAAAACGTCTTTGGCCTGAACACAACAACTTCCGTTGTGAGAGGGTTTAACATTGGACAGGGCAATGGAAATTCGGTTTAGTAGCGCTGTGTCATGATTCGATTATCACGAAGTCTGAATAATGGGATATTTGTGTCCAAAATACACTTTCTGGGTACGAGTATATGATGTAATTGAGAAAAGATTATCTTGCATGTATGTCTGACGAACTGTAGAAACCGGTTACTTTATGAAGTCAGTCAGATGCTACTTGATATATATGTATATATGTGATCAGCTTTGCCCCAACGTTACCACCGAGAACTGGCCGGTAAATTGTTTGTTTCATCATCATCAATATTACGTTCCCTCTATACTCAGTCGAAGCCGAGTCCCAGCTTACGGCATCTTTTCACTCGAGTTCACCACGGAAGGTGTTGTTTGACAAAGTTGCCCTCTCTCCCCTTTTCTATTTAACTTTCTTCATAGATCTGATTATGGAAACAGCCCTATACTCGTGCGAGGATAGTGGCATCGATTTACTCCCAGGTGGCAAACTGTCTGATCTAGATTATGCAGACGACATTGTGCTATCAAGTGAGAATCCAGGTAAGTGGCAAGCATTTCTGGAAAATTTGAGTGCTAGTGTAGCCATGTTCGGTGTGCGTTTTGCACCTTCAAAGTGTAAAATGTTATTACAAGACTGGTTTGGTCCAGCACCGAGACTCACTCTAACTGGGGAAATAATAGAGTAGGTGGATACGTTTTGTTATCTGGGCAGCTACATCTCAACTGGTGGACGCATCACGGATGTCAGCTCGCATACAGAATACCCGATTGGCATTTCCCAACTTCAGACATCTGTGGCGCCGTCGCGACATCCGGCTGTCTGTGAGGGGCCGAGTATATGCCGCAGCAGTTCAGCCAGTTCTGCTATACGGCTCAGAAACCTGGCCATTAAGGAAGCAGGATAAAGATAGACTGTCGGTGTTTGAACATCGCTGTCTACGCAGCACTGAATGAATCTGGTGGGGCAGCTGGACGAGCAATGCTGAGGTTAGGCGAAACGTTTTAGGCAACCGCGGTCGTCCACTGAAGTAAGTGGTCGACCTCGATAGATTACATTGGTTGGGGCATATGTTACGCATGTCACTAAATAGGTTACCACGGCGAGCGATGTTTGCCGAGGTAGGTAGTGGGTGGAATAAAGCCCAGGGTGATCAAGCTTAGACTAGGCACGAGGGTATGAAAACCCTAACCAGGAGTCTGGGTCACATGGGTCCCGTTAGGCTCCCTGGATGGTCGCACCCGATGGTTAGAGACACTGAGTGATATCGCTGGGTGTTGTAAACAGTGGTGTTCATGCATCTTCTCAATTTCTCTGTATAATTAGTCCAATGATTTTTTCAGTTTTCTCTTCGATTCTACTTTCAACTTATCCTGTCTTCCTCCTAATGTTCATTCAAATGGGCAGCCGAAAGATAGCAACCAAAACCGGCGCTCGAACATGTGTGGTTAATGGTTGTACAAACTGAAACTAAAACTTTGTTTCATCAGCAGCTTGCATCATTTTAAGGTTAGAAGCGATTGGCTGGTTTAAAACGGGTTTGATATCCCGCAAATTGCATTCATCTCTCCTCTGTCAATCAGAAAACAAGTCTCCAATGAAACAGAAATTTGCATACTGTATTCAGAATCGGCTTGCCATATGTGCGTAAAAATGC